TGAAGTTTGACTTACAAATCCGGAAGGTATGACACGGCCTTTCCTCTTTTCTAATTGGATTTATTAGAGATGACTACAAACCACCTTTCCAATTTATATCGGTTGAGGGAAATATCTGTTAAAAATGAGTATATAATATAATTTAATATGCAGTAGAATAGACTAAAACTTCATTACGTGATTATACCCTTTTAAAAATCATTGTTTATATCATAGGAATGACTTTACCAGTTTTGAGTTTGTAAGACAAAAAGTTAAGTAAAACTTGGAATTAAATGCTAATGCAAATAATTGATTTATATGTTTTTAACTTCTTTGTTGCTTTTCATTTGCTCGTTTGAGTGAGGATGATGCTCAGCTCGGACCTAAGGGTGTGTTTTCTCTTCCAGCTCCAACCTCTTCGATAAGGTCAGCCCGGTGGTGTCCTACAGGGTCGACCTTGCTGTTCTGGCTGCCGTGGAGATCAGAGGGTCAGTGTGGTCCCCGAGCAGCCTCTCGCGTTCTCCCGACTTAAGCTGCTTTACAAAGGAGTTTGTTCATCTTCCCCTGAGGACGTTTTCCCACTGAGTTTTAGAGAGAGTGGAAGGGAGGGGAGCAGGAGAGACAGAGAGAGAAACATTGATGTGAGGGAGACACAGCGACGGTTGCCTCCCACACGCACTTCACCTGGGGCCAGGGATCCAGCCTGCAAGCCAGGTGCATGCCCTCGACAGGAATCGCACCCACAACCTCCCGGGCGCAGGCCGACGCGCTAACCACTCACCCACACGGGCCAGGGCGGCGGTTACTTTTTAGAAGTAAAGCCCTCGCTGCTCTGGGGTAGCAGGTGCTTCGCTTGCTGTGCTGGCCTATGAGCTGCAGCTCCGGGGAGAGAAGGGTCTAGGCCAGTGATGGCGAACCTATGACACGCGTGTCAGAGGTGACACGCGAACTCATTTTTTTTGGTTGATTTTTCTTTGTTAAATGGCATTTAAGTATATAAAATAAATATTAAAAATGTGAGTCTTTGTTTTACTATGGTTGCAAATATCAAAAAATTTCTTTATGTGACACGAACCAGAGTTAAGTTAGGGTTTTTCAAAATGCTGACACGCCGAGCTCAAAAGGTTCGCCATCGCTGGTCTAGGTGCTGCTCCGAACGTTCGTTTGCGTATCATCTGAAATAACCCCCCAGGCGACAGCGGGCACAGCATGCGTGCCCTGAGCTCTTACTCAGCTTGGCGTCCGTTCACCTGCCGCGTTAGCGTCGTAAGCAGGAGAGTGTGCACACGGTGGGTTCTTCTCTTGAACAGGCAGCGCTTTTTTAACAATTAGGTCTGCTTTCCTTCGTCCGGGTGCAGGGCGCTCTGGAAAACGAACTGACTGTCACTTGATGTTCGTGGTGGTTTTTCTCTGGTTGTTTAGGGTCTCGAGTCCGGACCATGTCTTCCTCCCGATCCCCAACTGGGAGCACAAGGAGCACCCCGAGACCGAGGAGGACGTGGGGCCTGTGATTCAGCACATCTACGAGGTGCGCGGCGGGGGGGGGGGCTTCGGGGGGGCCCGGGCGGGGCCGCACGGAGGGGACGGCTGCTGCTGGAAAGACGCGTCTGTCTGAGTTTTACGGAAACCATGCTAGTGAGACTCTGGTTGTGGGAATGGTCCCCAAGTTCATTTTCATGAGACAAGTGGCTCCAGTGGCTGCAGAACGCAGTCAGCACACGTGGTTGTCTCAAACCCCTTCGTGCCACTTGAGTGGAAGCCACAGGCCACCGAGGATGTTCACAGGGACAGGGCGCAGGTCCGAGCAACATGGGAAAGCCGACGGCAGATCTGGCTTCTGCAGGAAGAGCATTTCCTGTGCCGTCTTCACCAGAACCTTGCCCAGATCTTCCTCTTCATTTATGTTTTCATCCCAGCCTCCCCCTGAGCAGATTCGGGGTTTGATCTCTTTTGCGTAGTAACAGTCGTGTGGTGATGTGAGAGTAACCATGGAGACGCTCTGCTTCCGCTCCTGTTGCTAAGGCTCCTGCGGGGGGTTGGGGGGGGGGGGGCTGTGGGATGGAGCGTGGCCGACCGAGGTTGACGGCTTCCCGCCCCCGTAGCTGAGGAACATACGGCCCCAGCTCCTTCAGCAAGGCCATGCTGACCCTCCAGTGGCCCCACAAGTACCACAACAGTACGCTGCTCTACATCCTCCAGTACGAGGTGGACGGGCCCATGAACTGCACGGCCGACACCGAGATCAACCCCCTGAGGATCAAGGTAGGGCCCGCGGCGCCTCATTGCAGGCAGGTCTCGTCGCTTTTTCCCGAACCGACCCGAGAAACGCACGAAACGAAACAGCTGTTTCCTCGCAGCCCGCTCCGCAGACGCGTTTTAGTTCGTAGCCAGGACACCGAGGGTGAAATTGATCGTGTGTATAATGATTCTCTGAAGTCCGGGTGCGCCATGTCTCTAGGCCAGTGGTCGGCAAACCCATTAGTCAACAGAGCCAAATATCAGCAGCACAACAATTGACATTTCTTTTGAGAGCCAGATTTTTTAAACTTAAACTATATAGGTAGGTACATTGTTATTAACTTAATTAGGGTACTCCTAAGGCTTAGGAAGAGCCACACTCAAGGGGCCAAAGAGCCGCATGTGGCTCTCGAGCCACAGTTTGCTGACCACTGGTCTAGGGGGTGTTCAGTGACCTGTGGAGGGAGCCTTTTTACATGTGAACTGTGGAGAGAGAGAGGAAGCGAGAGGGATAGAGAGAGAGAAACGTCACGGATCGGCCGCCTCCTGCAGACCCCACACTGGGGACAGCCCAATGCCCAGGCACGTGCCTGACCAGGAATCAAACCGTTGACCTCCTGGTTCAGGGGTTGATGCCCAACCTCCGAGCCACACCGGCCGGGCTCAGGAGGCATGAAGTGACCGGATCTGACTTTGGTCCCATCGCACTGTGATTTGTCCCCAGACGATACCGTGTCGGGTGCTCTGCTGTTGCCATTTTGTCTTTGGGGAGAAGGTGCCCCGTTTCACGGCTGGTTCTCTGGACTTGGGGGCCTAGAAGCGTGGCGTTTCGTGGGGTCTGTGGACGTGGGGACAGCCCCCTCCCGCCCAGCACACACGCGGCACCCTGTGAACGTGCCGGCTCCTCCGGGGGGTGTCAGGTTCACCTGGAGGCTGCGCGAGGGGAGGAGGGTCGTGGCCAGGCCCAGGCGACATTCCCTGACACATTCAGGTGGACTCTCACTTCCTGTGTCTCCACCGTGTCTGGAGGAGCGGGTTGCCCGTCCGCCCGGGTTCAGTCCCCGATTTAATGGCTCTGGCAGTCTGTGCGACGATGGCGTGTGGGCTGTTCTCTGTGATGACCTGTCACGTTTGTCTGTGACCCCAGGTCTCCAGCTCGCAGCCGGCGGAGAAGAACGACAGCGTCGCTGGGCAGGGCGAGCGCGGCCACCTGGTCACCAGGCGGGACCTGGCCCAGAGCGAAGGGGGCGTCCACACGCTGGTGAGTGCGGCTCCGCAGCGAGCCCTGCAGACATGACACACGCGGTTCTAGGACCGACCCGGAGAGCCTGTCAGATGGCGGCAGCGGCTGTGCTGGGAGAGCCGTCGTTCATGCCACTCGGTCCTCCCTCCTTATTCCTCGTCTCACGAAGGCCCATCGCTGTGGCTCGCTCGTGAAAGACATGCTGTTCCCACGTGTCTGTTCTGTTCTCCGTTAACTGACCCATTTTCTTGGTCTCGCCCTGATCTTTAAGGCTTTCCTACAAAACTGCAGGAAAATCCCAAAGACCTCAGCAAAAATATCATATAAGAATAAATTTTGAAATTTAACAGTTCTGCATGCCCGGCTGGCATGTCTCCATGGATGAGCGTTGACCTATGAACCATGGGGTCCCGGTTCGATTCCCGGTCAAGGGCACAGGCCCGGGTTGCAGGCTCGATCCCCAGTAGAGGGCGTGCAGGAGGCAGCCGATTAAGGATTCTCTCATCATTGATGTTTCTCTCTCCCTCTCCCTTCCTCTGAAGTCAATAAAAATATATTTTTAAAAGGCTGCAGAGGGGACAGAGCGACCTGTCCTGTGAGCCGTGACGTGTCGTTGGCAGGGCTGCGGGGTGGCCGAGTGCCTGAAGATCGTCTGCCAGGTGGGGCGCCTGGACCGCGGGAAGAGCGCCATCCTGTACGTGCGGTCGCTGCTGTGGACCCAGACCTTCATGAACGTGAGTGCACAAGCCCAGCCCCCGCACACGCCTGCTGGCTCCTCAGAGGGATGAACACGCCTGACACGCATGTCCCTCCCGCAGAAGGAGAACCAGAACCGCTCCTACTCCCTGACGTCGTCGGCTTCCTTCAGCGTCATCGAGTTCCCCTACAAGAACCTCCCCATCGACGACATCTCCAACTCCACCCTCGTACGTCGCTGGCGGGCAGATGCGCGCGGCTTCCTGCCGTGGATGTTGTGTTTACTTAGATAACGGCCGTTTGGCTGTTTTGATGATTTAAAGCAGCGGTTCTCAACCTTCCTAAGGCCGCCACCCTTTCATACAGTTCCTCATGTTGTGGTGACCCCCAACCATAAAATTATTTTCTTTGCTACTTCATCACTGTAATTTTGCTACTGTTATGAATCGTCATGTAAATATCTGATATGCAGGATGTATTTTCATTGTTACAAATTGAACATAATGAAAGCATAGTGATTAATCACAAAAACAATATGTAATTATATATGTGTTTTCCGATGGTCTTAGGCCGATGGTCACGACCCACAGGTTGAGAACCACTGATTTAAAGTAACTAAGAGTCATTCGATAGGATGATAAACTAGTTTAATAATTTACTCCCTCGCCCCATGCCTATTAAAGGTAGGCCTTTCTCTTCAGCATCTTGTCCTGTGTAAGAGTCTTAGATTTCCTGAATCTCACGGGGGAAGTTCTTGGCAGTTTTTCCCCTTCACGTTAGAAAGTGGGACATTAACTACAAGGAGTGAAGGCATTTCAAAGGTCTTTGATTGGAGGATTGAAAGTTGGACCAACACACCATCGACTGGATCGGGTTGTCTAAAAACCACCTCAGAGGCGACCGGAAGTTGCCCTGCTGTTGGGAGTTTTGTGTGTGTGTGTGTGTGTGTGTGTGTGTGTGTCTGCTGTCGATGCCAGATGTTTAATCATAACTCCTCATACACAAGAAAAGGACAGAATGTGAACACCATTAAAATAGAGCAGGCATTCCGGTAGCTGCGCTGCTTTTAAGACCCAAAACCTTCTTTCCCTGACAGGTCGCCACGGACGTGACCTGGGGCATCCAGCCGGCGCCCATGCCTGTCCCCGTGTGGGTGATCATCTTAGCGGTCCTGGCAGGGCTGCTGCTGCTGGCGGTCCTGGTGTTTGTGATGCACCGGGTGAGGAATGGGCGTAGGGAGGGGGGTGGGGGGGGCAGGAAGAATGGGGCAGGAAGGAAGGGGAGGAGGAGGAGGAGGAGGAGGAGGAGGAGGAAGAGGGAAGGAGGACAGGGGTCTTGGATGATGATGACGATGCGCGATGATGTGAAGGAGGAGGTTCCGTGGGGATGACGCAGGCACGTAGATCCTTGAACGGCCTCCACCTACGGCAGTAACGTCCATTTCTCTTCTGCCGGCAGATGGGCTTCTTCAAGCGCGTGCGCCCACCTCAGGAAGAACCCGAGAGGGAGCAGCTCCAGCCGCACGAAAACGGCGAAGGGAACTCGGAGACCTAACTGGGCGGTTCGAGCTGCGCTGCCTCCGGCCCAGGAGGGCGGCCAGGGTCCCGGGTCCCGGTTCCCTTCGCGGGGACTGAATCACCGCTGGTGCCCGGGGGCGTCAGCCACAGCACGAGAGCGATAACCGTCAGGCTTCCCGCCATCAACAAGTTCAGACGCACCTTGAACGCACACCCACTGACACGTGCGTCTGGGTGCTTGAATAACGCAGTTTCCCGTGGTAGTTCATCCATGTACATAGACCGGTCGTCAGCGACTCACACTTCCTGTAACACGGTACCTCCTCCCGCAGCGACTGCTTCTGGTCTGTGCTCCGGATTTAACGAAATCTGTTGTTGTTCTAAAGCAATTCCTCCTTGGACCTTCGCATCCGCATCGTTTGCACAGGGACTCAACGTTAATACACATCACACTACAGGCGAGTTTCCAGTTACTAAAGGCGTTGTAACTCCGGGAACTTGGATTTTAACATTACCTACATTTATTACCCACATCAGAATGTTTTCCTGGAATAGTTAGGTAGAGTATTTTGACTTACTATGAAATTCGGGTACGTGTTGTTAAATTTTTATTTATATTTAATCCACCGTCCGTTTTATTGCATTTTGACTATTTAAGTGTACGCTGCATTTCCCATCCTTTAAGTCAACCTGTGCTAAAAATTAGTTCTGACATCGAAAACACCTCGTGTGTAACAGCTTGATCCCAGCTGAGCGTCGTGCTGCTTCAATCCATATGGAGTTGGGAATCATTTATTTCATTGAATTGGTCTGGCCACTTACAATACAAAAAAAAAGGCATTTTAATTTAAAACCATGTTTGTAGTTCTTCGAAAGAGTTGCTTATCAATAGTACGTTCTTAGATTAGATCGAGGGTTCAGTTGGGATTCATTTATTTTCCTCTTGTACTAGTCTAGGTACTTTATGTTTCCCAAACTGTCACTGAGGAAGGTCAAGACCACGAGGAGTCTTGACACCTCAGGAACCTGCACCAGCCTCCGCCGCACGGGAAGTGCCTGGCGCCGGAAGTCTCCGAGCATCAGTGGTGCGAGGCTGCGAACCTGGCGTTACCTCGTTCGGAGCGAGGTGTAACGGGTAAAGCCAGTCTCAGCTCTCAAATAATTTTTAAAAGGTACTTTTATAAGCAATTCCAGTTACTGGGAAGATTTTAAAACTTTCTTAGGTTTATTACCATGAATTTTCTAGGAATTTTTTATAAAAGCTGCACAGAGTTTTATATCTCTGCAGGTGATGTGTTTGCTGGAGGCCTGTGTGACTCACAGCTCCTCAGAGCCGGCTGCGATGACTCTCATCACTATTTTTGTGCAATTACATCATGTTATGCGTTAGAAGTTGAGGGTTCAGTCGCTTTTTAACTGCTGTCTTCACTAGGCAATGACAAGCGTTTCCCTTAAATCATTGAATGTTTTTCTGTTTTAAAGACAACTGGGATTTATCCTGCCGTGACCCGCGTGATCATTCCCCACGCAGCCGTACGCGAGAGGCACGTGGGTGAGTCACACGCGATCCAACATCGGCAGGACCCGTCAGTGAATTTAACAGTGAGCAGATTTGGTAGGATAGATTTTATTGGTAGCTTAAGAGAGCTTACTCACATGCAGTTAGGACTTTTATTGCCAATAAATTTATTTCTTTTAAAGAAAAAACCATGTTTATCCTAGGGCCTGCCCCAGGCAGTCGCTAAGTCGCTCTGTAACGACTTGACCCATTTTCCCCGCGCACTGGCAGTCATTCCTGAAGTGACGTGTTGGGTAGACATTCACGCTTTCAAAGCACAGTCTGTCCCTCGTGGGGCCTCTGTTCCGAGGTCCGGTCTTGTATCGGAGATCGAAGGGTGCCTCAGTGGAACTTCATGTGATGTTTCAGATTGCCTTTATGCACTGTGGTCTTAGGCAGTAGGATTTTCTTTAAAAATGAAAATTTATGTCTCTAAAAAATATGGTAGAAGTCTAATGAAAGAGCCTACTCGTGGAGGAAAATGTTTGGATTCTCTGTACCTGAAAGTAGCCTGTCAATATATTTGGTTAAAATGTAAAAAAACAAAACAAAAACAAAACCCTATGAAAACTATTTTAATTTTCAACTGTTTTAATTACTGTTGTGTTATTTATTGAGAATTAAAATCCAGTTTGAGTATACGGTTCTTGTAATCTGATTCAGTTTAAAAAAACACATGAGTGAGGTACATAATATTTAAAGCATTTGTTGTTGGTAAGAAATATTGGTATTATCGTTGATTTATTATATAACCATTTATTTGAGAATTAATATTTTGAAAAACATTTGCATGAGAGACATTCGTTCTTTGTCTTCCCTTTACCTTTCTCTTGCGATTATTATAATAATTCTGACTGAGTTCTTAATTCTGACGTGTAAAACAATCAAAAAGGGAGTGTCACAATTATACCTGCGTTATGAAACTATTCATGGTAAATTCTCACTAATACTTTTCTATAAAGAGGAAATTTACGTATTAAGAAAAGAGACTCTGCTGGCTTCTTAAGAGGCTGTGGACGGTTTTAACAGCGAGCCGTGACCCTCAGGGAAGGATCTGTGTGGCGAAAGCACAGTGTGTCCCAGGTCGGCTGGGTTATCAGGCCAACAGCTCGGGAGGCGGCGGGCGCTCCTGTGGCAGAGGGTGGCGCCCGGCGCGGTGAGGACTGGTCGCTCGGCTACCTGGGCCTGACTCGGTGCCACCTGCTGTGCGGTTGGGGAGCTCGTGCAGGTGGGAGTTGGATAAATAAGAAAAAGATAAAATCTGAAGATGGAATTAGGATCAAACATGGCGAAGAAAGGGCGTAGTCCTGTGTCCTGGAGCGTCGCCCCTCTCGCCGGCTGGGAGGCGGTGGCAGTGAGGATGGGACATGCTTACATTTCACTGTCACTTCTGGTACAGAATGAACTTCCGGGAGAGGTGCCGAGCCTGGCGTCCTTGTTGTCATTGTCCCCACGTGCAATATGACGAGTAACCAGGCCCAGATAGTCTCCCGGCATCAGTCGCTCAGTGACCCGAAGCTGAAGGCGATGGATTAATGCTTGGTTAGCAGGAGGAGTGAGTCTGCCGGGGGCACACAGAGGAAGTCACTCCGATCCGTCCCTTCTGCACGCTCCTTCCGGCTGGACACGGCTCCCTCCTTGGGTCTGAAACACTTTGGAATCTCCTGATGCGATTGGGAAGCTGCGGACATCAGAGCGAGTGCTGCCTGGGTACCAGGCTTTCTTAGTTCGCTTCCCTGAGCAGCCCATGGGCGAGGCGTAAAACGCGCGTGTTCTAACCCTTGTCGTTGCCAACTTGCTCTGAGTTTGTGGAGCGGGTACGTGTCCTCCTGGTGTTGGGTGTGTGACTCGCGACTGACCGTCCAATAAACTTGAGCCTCAGGTGCCACTTCTGTGCAGACCGTGTCTTCCTTCTGTTTTGTTTTTTACTCACACGAGCAAGCAGCAGTGACGCATGAAAGGGGTCATGTCTGCGACACGCACACCTCATACATGCCTGAATTCTCAACAAAGAACGTGGTAAATAGACCAATAGGACTCCTCGCCTGAAGCCCCCGGGAAGGAGGAGAGAAACAGTCTCAATGAACCAGGGACAGTCTAACCAGGTACGAAGAGTCTTGGGAGAGAGAATGGGCCAGACAAAATATTGGCAGCCAGCTCAGCGGTTGAGCATCGACCTATGAACCAGGAGGTCAGGGTTCAATTCCCGGCCAGGGCACCTGCCTAGGTTGCAGGCTCGATCCCCAGTGTGGGGTGTGCAGGAGGCAGCTGATCAATGATTCTCATCGTTGATGTTGCGAATTGATGTTTTTATCACTCTATCCCTCTCCCTCTCTCTAAAAATCAATAAAAACATTTTATATTTATTTATTTTTTTTTAATATGTTTTATTGATTTTTTTTACAGAGAGGAAGGGAGAGGGAGAGGGATAGCGAGTTAGAAACATCGATTCAGCTGCCTCTTGCACGCCCCCCACTGGGGATGTGCCCGCAACCCAGGTACATGCCCTTGACCGGAATCGAACCTGGGACCCTTGAGTCTGCAGGCCAACATTCTATCCGCTGAGCCAAACCAGCTAGGCCAATAAAAACATTTTAAAAGTATATTTTAAAAAAGAAGGAAATCTTACCTTTAAAAAAATATATATTAGAAGCCAAAAAGCTTCCGAATTTGATCAAAAGTAGAACGTACAGTTTTGGAAGCTCAGTAAACGCAAAACAGGAACTCACAGGAAGCCGCGCACATCCTGGTCCGGCAGCTGAGCCGCAGGTGAGAAGGGGGCACCTGTGGGCATGAGTGTCCGAACTCATCGGTCGCGTGGGTGGGGCTTGGGTCCTGATCTATCCCCAGGGACCAGTCCTCTGTGGGGCCGGGAAACCAAAGAAACCAGTTATCTGCTCCCAACACATCCTGGTGGGACAGGCGTCCGTAGCAACGACAGGCGTTCAGGTTCAAAGAAGGGAAGAGTCCCTGGTCCCAAGCGGGGCAGCCTCCAGTGGTGTCAAATGGTTCTGCGAGGAATTCTCTGGCTCCTGGGTCCATACTGAGCACCCCCCCCCCATGGGTCCTCATTGAGTCCCCCCGTGAAAGGCAGCACGGTCTGCAGCTGAGCACTGGTGCAGTGTGTGGGCCGATAGCCTTCGTGCGGTGCTTCCTGTAGACCACGCTGGCCGTGTTCCTGCTGATGTGAGACTCTGGGGAGGCGTGTGGGTTCCCAGCGGGCACCGGAGAACAATCATCATGCGTGTGCAGATGTGTTCTGGACTCCCTGTTCTGTTCCATTAGTTGATGGGTCTGTTTCCATATCATTTCCATGCCGTTTGGACTACTTAGTGTTTACATGTGTGTGTGTGTGTATATATATATACTATTTATATATGTGTGTGTGTATATATATATACACTAGAGGCCCGGTGCATGAATTTGTGCTCGGGCGGGGCCCCTCCCTGCCGATCGGGGCTGTCTTGCCCAGTCCCAATCGGGACTGATCGGGCCGGCCGGGGGAGGGACCGGGGTAGGTTGGCTGTGGGAGCGCACTGACCACCAGGGGGCAGCTCCTGCGTTGAGCGTCTGCCCCCTGGTGGTCAATGCGCATCATAGCTACCGTCGGTTGTCTGGTCATAATGGTCACTTAGGCTTTTATATATACATAGATATATCTATATCTATATATATATAAATTTAATTTCAGAGAGGAAGGGAGAGGGAGAGAGAAATAGAAACATCAATGATGAGAGAGAATCATTGATTGGCTGCTGCCTGCACGCCCCCCCCCCCCCACCACCAATAGAGCGGCAGCCCAGACATGTGCCCTGACGGGGAATCGAACCGTGACCTCCTGGTTCATGGGTCAACGGTCCACCACTGAGCCACGCCTGGGGGCTGTATTGTATTTTGAGGTCAGGCAGGGTATTATCTCCAGCTTTGTTCTTTTTGCTCAAGATTGCTTTGGCTACTCATGGTCTTTTGTGGTTTCATATGAATTTTAGGATTTAAAAGAAGTATTTCTGTGAAAAAAGCCACTGGAATTCTGAAAGGGGTTGCAGTGAATCTATAGATGCTTCGGGGCGTATGGACAGTGCAACCACATTCATTCTTCCAGTCCACGAGCGAGGGATCGTGCTCCATCGCCTGAGCCTTCCTTGCGCTCATCGTTGTTCCGTAGTTTTCAGTCTGCAGATCTGTCCCCTTTGGTTAAATGTATTCCTAAGGTTTTTCTGTTAATGCCTTTGTAAGTGGCATTTTTTCCTTAATTGCTTGTCCGTGTGGTCCATCGCTAGTGCGTAAACACAGATCTTATGTGTTCATCTCGGGTCCTGTGGACTAGTTCTGTCGGTTAATGGTGGTCAGGGCGCACGCGGGGTCAGGGCGCAGGTGACCCGG